TTTCGGTCTTGCAGTAGCTATCAAGAGACTCATTGGTTTGCAGCTGCATGCAGAATCAAGAGCCGTACTTCAAATTCGTGAAAGTAGCATTAGGAGAAAGACAATCCCAATTGTTATTAGATGGATAAATAAAATACATAACAAATCATGATAATAGCAAGGATTTATCAAGGATGAAAGATGCAAATTGAGTATGATGTCATGCAAAAGTTGATCAAATATTTCATCTTATCATATTTCCTCAACAAATGTCACTCTAGCTATTACATTAATTTTAAAAAGTTGTTTTTTGAGTAAAACTAACTACTGAATGCAATTTGTATAAAGAATCTAACCTGACTGCCTGATGAATCAAGAATCTGGGAGTGATTACTATCATGGTCTTCAAATTGCTGAGCAACAGTATCATCTTCAAGGATTGCTTTAGCTTTTTTAGCTAAAACTTCCCAAAATCCATGTCGGGGGCCATTCGAATTTTTCAGCGAAGAGTATTCATAAACATTTGAGCCCTACATTAAAGTTCCATAATCAGCATAAGGACCAAACTAGACTAGCATATGGAAGAGGATACATGCATAGGTACATAAATATTCATAAAGGACATGTCACATGTCTCTTCAGCCTAATTATTTTTTCCACTCAAGTGGCTTCAATTTCTCTTATCCTTGTAAGCATACAGAATGAGTCTTGTTTGTACAAAAATTATAGCACAAGTTCAAACTCATCTAAAAATTAAATTACTTATACTTACTATAGCAATAGGCCAAGCCACAGACACATTACAAAATATTTGTCTCATAAATTGTCCTTAAGAGGATATTGTTCCTTAAATTGTAGAATTATTGTTCTTAAGAGAGTTAAAGTGGCAAGTACAGATAAGTGTAGCAGATGCAGATAGTTGGGAATATAGATTTGTTAAGGAAATGGCTCCTCTTGTCAAATTCTCTAGATATCTGCAGGAGATGGAAGTTAGTAATTTAATACAGAAAGTTAAACTCTCCGCATCAAAGTCTTGATAGAAATTGCACACACCAATCACAGTGGGCAATTAAATGTCAACAAAAAAGTTTAATTATAAATAATAATCACCAATGTCCAGTGTGTCTGCTCAAAATCATTTAAAGTCCACAGCATAGCATTGCTTATGGTGTCTCCACTGATGTTCCAATCAAAGTGAAGCCAATTGAAGTCTTAATGCACAAATTCAGATTGAGCTGATTCTACGATCTTGAATTTATTGTTACAAGGAGACAAAATATCCTGAAGATCTAAGTAAAAATGTATGTCGATCAATTCTCATTTATGGTGTAGCATTACCCAAACAGAATAACTCCAATGTTCTGAAAATAAGAAGAACAAGGTTCTATGTTACAGTATGCAATGTGATACCCATAGACATGAAATATGTTACAACATCATAAGTATTAAACAATGTCAGCTGACAATGATGCTTAAATAACAAGACTAGGGGTATATAATTAGAGCATTGTAGATGACATATAATTAAGTTCCTTAAGTGTGATGTGATATTCATGTTCCCATGTTGGATTGTGTAAGGATGTACTGTAAAAGAGGACAGATTCTGTGAATAGGAATGCTACACAGTAAATGAAAATTTTGAGCTATCAAAATTCAGTTATTAGAGAGTACTATAATAAGTTTGTCCAAAATTTCTAAAGAACATATGAGAGAGTAATATATGTATGTTTCAAACATATACATATCTTGCTCAAGGAAAGGTGAAACGAAAACTGAGGACCATCCACTTGCAATAGTATACAAGTAGAGGCATATGTATAAGTATTAGAAATACACAATCTAGAATAAATTTGTTAATCTAAAATAAAATTATTCATAAATTTCAGCAATTCTGCACTAAGCAACAAAGTATTCATTGAAAAGATATCAAAGGTAAAGTTATGTTGAACAAATATTACAACTTCTTAATCAATTTCCAATCCTCCAAAACGCAATGAACCCCTTAGGTATTCAGGTCCACAAGCCTAATGCGAATCTACACTCTTAAATCGATTGAGCAATTTTTGAGGGAAGACAAATTGATAGATTCAAGGCGGGCCTAAGCATCATGATAAGGTTGCTTCTTTGCCATGTGAGTGATCAGGATTCGAAATGCAGAACACCTTGCTATTTACAGAGGTAAGATTGCATATATTTCCACCTCGCATTAAAAGGAACCTCGTGCATTAGGCCAGCATGATGAATTCGAAATTGCTAGATGTCTTTTCGGAGGGATCATATATCCATACAAGTTCGCATTTTTTAGAAACGGAACGATTAAATCAAACCGCAATAACAGCACAGAAATTAAATAAACAGTTATCACGCATGAAATCATCCCCTCCCCTCCCCTACAACAACAAAACAACGAGGGAAAATTGATGTACCTGCTTGTGATAGTTCCGGAGACCAGGATGTCGGTAGGCAGAGGAGGAAGAGGAGGAGGTGGAGGAGGACGACGAGGAGAAGGCCGCGGAGTCGCCATCGTAAGCGGAGGAGAGGGAGGACTCGCGGTGGGCGGCGGAAGCGCGGATGGCCTTGGCGGCCAGGGACGGGGAGGAGGAGCCATCCTCCTCCGGGGACAAGGAGCGGAATTCCTCGAAAGTGGCGGACCGCGGCGTGCTGTGCCTCCTCCGGTACGCCATCTCCCTGCGCTCGCCCAACACAGCTAAAAGGAAGCAATAATATCGCCCTCAAGAACTCAATATATATATATGCATATATATAGCGACCTTCAACGAACCGCAACCGTGACTGGGCCACCTGCTCGCTCTCTTTGACACGTACTACGATCCCCACGAAATGAGCGGATGTGGGTTGGACGAACATTACGGGTTTGCCCTTTCCGTGATCCTGATCCTAATCCGATCAGTGAACCGGGTTCAAATAAATCACCAGACCCAGCCGGTTTGACCGAACCAACAACCTATCACTTTCTTTTCCATCCCATTAGACTAAAGCATCCCCTGCAATTTATACTAAATTATTAAACAGAGAATTATTAACCTAAAAGTTTAAAATATTACATACAAAAACAAACAATGAGGTTTTTATTGCCACATGGCAACCTTTTTTTTTATTTATTTTTGGGTCTTTTACGTATATGTTATTTGAACCATACGCATACTCATTAAATGTTTAAATTTATATTGTAAGCAAAAATAAAAATAAAAAATAAAAAGTCACTCATCTTAACTACTTATTCCTTGCACACAAAAAAAAACACTAAATTTCACCCTCCTCAACAAACTTAGTATAAATTTGATTCACTTATTTTTGATTGATCAAAAAATAAAAAGATAAATTTTTAGAAAGATCTTTAAGTTTCAGAATTTCTCAAATAACACCTCAAGTTTGAAAAAATTTTATAGAGGATCTTTTTTCTAAAGTGATCATCCTGCTCTTATTGACGATCACCCTCTGCCTAGCCCTTGGCTACATTATCACCTCGTCGATTGCCCCCCTCCATCGAACCCACCTAGTGACGGAGGTGCAGTAGCCCTCATCGCACCCTACTGGAGTAGCAATGGGGTGGCCCATATTGTGCTAATGCGAGCAAGAGCCAAAGTGGTGTTGCACGATACCTTTGCAACCAATAGTGGTCCTCGTCGCCCTTGCAACAAGAGTGCAGATGATGTTGCGCGATACCTCCACGACCAACAACATTGATAAGGGTTGAGGGTCTAGCAAGGGCTGCATAGCCTCCTCGCACCCCTTCCTTGCTAGTGTTGTCTTCTCGTGCGCTCTTCTCGCCATGGACCATAAGGAAGGAATGAAAGGGGGTGGCTTGCCCTCACGATCAACAATGATGATAAGAGTCAAGGGGCGAGCAAGGGTCGACAAGTGGAGTAACCACGCATAAGATGAATAGGGGTCATTGATAGAGCGAAGGCAAAGTCAGGACTCATACGAGCCGAGGCATAGCTAGGGTTGAAGCAAAATTTTTAAAATGACGAAGCAAAATAATTTTTTCATGAAAAATTATAAAACTTAAGAGATTTTTATAAGAATTCATTAATAATAAAATTTATAGACCGACGTTAAGCCAATATTGTAAAATAAAGAGGTGATTTCCTTAAACACATCATAGTGGCACACTCATAAAAAAGAAAAAAAAAGAGAAAAAAAAAGAAAAAGAGGAGAAAGAAGTGGGATCGGAGATCCACAAAGTAAAGAAGGGAACAAAGAGGGATGGGATTCCACTCAACCACCAAAAACTATACTTGGTTGGCTCTTCAAATAGCTGACGCATTACCTACGTGTCTTCCAAGCCATTGACGCGTGAACCAACCACGCCACTTTAAAGATCGCGATGCTTCCGTTGATACAAAGGTCTTCTCCCATTACTTTGCTTCCTTTCTGTTTCTTCCCCCTCTCACAGCCTCGCTCACTCCCCGGAAAAGGAAAGGAAAGGAATAGAGGCGTGATGAGGCTACTGGTGATGGCGATGGTGGATGGATTCCTTACGTGCGCGTCGACGATATGGGCGCTGCAGGAGCGGAGGCTGTCGAGGGTCTTCGACACCGCGATGTCCGTGGCCGCTTCCGCCGTCGTCTCGCTCACGTTTTGCTGTATTTTGGTAAGCAGATGGTGGTGGTGACGATGCTGTATCGAAGTAGTGTCTGTTCGTTTGTTTCTCTCTCTCTCTCTCTAAATGCTGCAACTTGATCTTACTGCAGCGACAACAACAATAACTTTGTGACATTTTGCCTCTTTGATCCGTTTGATAGAATAAGAAATTCGACCCTTCTCGCCGTGTAATACACTTCTTCTGTTCAGATGCACTGCACTTGGTCTATAACGACAATATCAAGTCATAATATTCCAACTATTTAGATCGACTATATAAATCTTTTCTTGTAATAATTAAATTCTTTACCAGATAGTGCTTTTTTTATTATTTATGGGTTGTTTCTGAAGTAATGTGTCCAGAATAATTTCTAATCTTCCTCAGCTTTGTCTGGAGAGCATGAAAAGTTTGCACAGCAATATTTGTCAAAAATTATGCCAAATAACAGAGAGTATACCTCTTCTGAAGTTTCATTGTTGCATAAGGCCATCAAAATAGTTTTGCTACAAGATATTCTCATCCCTGAGATCAGATGCTCCAAAACATTGAATGCAAATTCTGCAAATTAATGATGATCTTTCAAGAACACCGGCACCTGAGACGACAAGTTGCATTACAAGTCAATACACAAGTGGAAGTAACTAAAAGAATTACGACTCAATCTAAAAAGCAAATACCAATAAACCAAATTTAGCGAAAAACTTCAAGCTTCTGTGCTATAAATTTATAGCTCCAACTTGTCGATCTAACCGACAAATGCACAACCTTTGACAATCTGAAAACTCGGGAATTCTTTCAAAGGGCTTACACTGGAGAAGTTAGAATTGAGTTTGGCTTCTTCACTGTGGTTTGGGGATGTTCTCATCGGTAGAAGACCTCCTAGTGTCTCTGCCACCATAGAGCTTTATGTATCTCATCCAAATGGTACATGTAAAAAGCTCTAAGACCAACTCCACCTGATGTAAAGGATATTACTGTTAGATTTTACATGATAGTATAGATGAAAAGGTTCGTAAACATCAGCGACGCTTACAGAATGACAGAAGCATGACAATCTGGCTTTGTCAGCCTGTCCCGGCACTGTGCCTGGTAAAAGCTCTGAAGGCAGTATCAGAGCTAGTCTCTGCACCAAGGGCAGAAGAACCCTGGCTCCTACTGCCCCAGAAGATCCAACCACTGGGGACTGCTTCAGAGTTACCACTGAGCCGATCAGCCAAGACTTATGAGAGTTACCACTGCTTTAGGACCTTTTCATAGTTGTAATCAGGCAGCTCAATGGAAGCAATAGACTTTATGGATGGCAAAATTTCTTGGATGGTGTCATTTAGATGTTTCTTCCAAGTCAAGAGAATGAGATGAAAATGGGGACAGCAAACACATTCGATTCTGTGTTTGGCTTTCACATAAATGTTCTTGCACCTGTACTGTGAATCAACATCAAAGGTATAAAGCCCTCCCTTCTACGAAGTATTCATGGAATGAAACTATACTGAAATGAGAAACTACCAATAAGACGCAATAATGGAAATTCCTGTATCAAATAGGTACAGAGTCTTGTCATAAGATGAAAGTGTTGGGTCAGTTTAGTTTTGCTAATCACTAAAATTTTAATTCCAAATAAAGTCATTCATATAACACTGAGTTACATATGATAGACAGCTAACGCCAAAATAAAATAGATTACCATGATTGCTTTCACCAAGTAGAATAATCTTAGATATGCTTACAATGAGAAAGAAGCAAGGATACCGTAAGAACTGAATGCTGTAATACTGATTTGTGTAATCATCAAAACACCAAAGATGTCTGTCAATAATAGA